GCTCAGTTGGTTGAGCATTAGACTCGTGATTTCGGCTCAGGTCATGATACCCGGGTTGTGGGATAGAGCCCCGTGCTGAGCATGAGGACTTCTTGAGATTCTCTCTCTCCCCCACTGCCCCTCTCCTCTGCTTGTGCTCTCAATACATAAATAAGTAAATAAATAGGGGCTGGCTCAGTCAGTTGAGAGTCTGACTTGGGCTCAGCTGATGATCTCACAGTTCGTGAGTTTGAGCCCCGCATCAGGCTCACTGCTTTCAGCACAGAGCCCGCTTCAGATCCCCTGCCCCCCCCCGCCCCCACCCCATCCCTGCTCATGCTCTCTCTCTCTCAAAAATAAACAAACATTAAATGAATGAATGAATGAATGAATGAATGATAAAATATAAAATTACCTATAAGATACTGGATTTAAACTACGAAAATAAGCCGTAGGGAAAGGTTTTTACGTGTTTCACTACCCAGAAAGTCCTAGAGCCCGAGTCATTGTAAACACGTCCTCTTGCCTAAATTCAGTATGCAACTTGGGCCCCCGAATACACAGCATTCATTTTACTTTTCAAAATACAGCCACGTATCATCTCCCTAGGGTCTCAGGACATGACACGTACCTTTCAGGATGGGTCACATGAGTGAGGCAGAAACCTAGGAGCCATTCTTTCGGTCAGGACAACAGCTCGGCAAGTTGAGGGAAAACGTATTTACCAGACGGGGAGCTGCTCTCAGATTTGCAGACTCCCTAATTTATCTTTCTTCTTCCAGGGCCAATCTGTTAGCCTTTCACTCTCACCGCGACAGTAATAAGAGTATCCCTGGGAAAGCACAGGGCTGGCTTCAGCTAGTTTCCTGCCCGAAGAAGTGACTGGAAGTGACAGCGTGGACAGCTTGTTTTCTCACGTCTCCCCTGTGCTCGGGGTAGGACCCGGCTGCCAGTGTGTTTCCTGACACACATGTTGTCCCTTTGCGAGCAGGGTGTCTGTCCCACGTTGCCCACGAATGAGCAGATGGCGGGCAGGTGGATGGCCCCAAAAGTCCTCTCTCTGTTTTCTTGGATTGATACTGTTTACAGTTTCCTTTTGTCCTCTTAAGCCCTTCCTCCCAGCTGTAGGCAAATAGCTCGCTCCGTCCTACACCAGCCCTGCCAGAATATGTCATGAAAATTTAGAGAAATACAGAATTTCTGTGTTATGAAACCACAGTGCGCTGTGGCCACTCTCCGTCCACCCCCCCCCCCCCACCCCAGCGTGCTATTGCCCGACAGTTTCACCAGGCCTCTTCTGACACGTGTGAACCTGCAAGGGGAAACTTCTGTCCTCTGAAAAGCTGTTGACTTTCTCCTAGACAGAGCTCAGAAGTGTTCTACAAATTAAAAACCAAACATCTTCTTCCTTAGAACCCAATACGTTTATTACTATACTAACCATTTGTTTTTCTTATGTTTATTTATTATTTTTGAGGGAGAGAGAGAGAGAGAACATGAACGGGGAGGGGACAGAGAGAGGGGGACAGAGGATCCGAAGCAGTCTTTGCATTGACAACAGAGAGCCCAATTCGGGGCTCTACCCCACAAACCACAAGATCGTGATCTCACCGAAGTTGGATGCTTAACCGATTGAGCCACCCAGGCGCCCCCTGTACTAGCCAAATATAATCACACAAAAATCACTTTGCTACTTAATATAACATCTAAGCCCCGGTGTATGAGAAGTGGTACATGTGTTACTAAACGACACCCATCAGTGTCCTGGGGCCGAGGGGGGTGAAGCTCAATCTCAGGGTGTCAACGTTTTGAACTAATTTCAATAATGTGACCAAAATACAGATAGGGCTTCTTGATATCAACTCGATTAGAAACCAAGAGACTAATGTTCAGTATCATCTGGCTAAAACATCCCCGTTCTAAATGCCGCATGAGGTGACACATTCCCATCATCACTCTGTACCTACTTTGTATTGTGCTAAGGTGATTATTTGTGCTATTTCTATGCATATTGCTAAATCAATCGTAACAATATGAATGGTGAGAGACAAGAGCCAGTACCTTGATATTCAAAAGAGAATGCAATGAGTATTATCCATTTTCATAAAAATACTAGGGCATGTGCCAAGCAGTATTTCTGAACATTTTATGTTAACACAATGCCTGCTTATATCTTCCTAAATACCAATTCATAATTTAAATATTTTTAAGTAATGTCAGATTAATGAAATATTTCTTCATGGCATATTATATAGAAATAAGACATACAAGAAAAGTATTCGCATCAGCTTTCATTTCAGAAACTCCAAAATAATCATTTTTCTGAAACAAACCAACTGCAAAGTCATTTTCAAGGGTTTCAGTAATAATAATAATTATTATTATCCTGCCGAATGGATACATTACATTGTCTGTATAGAAAATGCTCAAATGAAATTTTTTCCTATTGTATCTTTATTTAAATGAAGGTCCAATAAAGAAAATGCCATGGCCTTAATAGGAGATTTTCTCAATTTCAAAAACATATCTTCAAACATACAAAAATGCTGGTGAAAATAGGATTAGTGTTCTTAATAACAATCGCATGCTTAATGAATATCTGTGTGACCGAGTCTTGGTACGACTTTCCTCCCGTCTCCTCCCGAGACGTACATCAAATTGCACACATCAATCAAAGGAAACCAGAAGCATCTCTATCTTTATTCATAGAGAGAGGAGAGTGGAATGCATACTTGCTGCTGAGAAGTATCCAAATCTTCTCTTACCTTGGGAGCCCAGCCTGCCATCTTCCTGGGGTTGGCATCTGCCCCAAATACTCTGCTTCTACACTCATCCCTCAAACCTACAAACTCTTCCACTTTCCCTAGTCACTACTCAAACCTCCTGTTAGCCATTCTACCTTCTTTTGTAAATTCTCTCTGTAGACTCCCACCTTGCTCCTCCACATCTGCACAGAGCCACCCTTTGTGAGCCAGACGCAAGAGGGATAGGAGAATACACCTTATTTGTGTGTTTCCTATAATATGAATGTATTGACAGTTTTGACTACACACAAACATGAGTTGCTTTTTTCATACTACTTCCTTCTCCCCCAAATAAGTCACCCACTCCTCAGATGACGAGGTCCACACGCACACACATAATCAGAGAACAACACTGAGCTGATTTTTGATAGCATCAACCACAGGAATTCTCAACTGCGATGGTATTGAACCCAAAGGGCATTTGGAAATCTCTGTGTCTCTCTTTTTTGGTGGCATCATTGGCTCAAGATTGCAGCTGGCGTCCGGTGGCTCCACAGGTACAAAGAATCATTGTACCCAAATGCCAGTCATGCCCCACTAAGCAACACTGAGTCAGAACGATCAACGTGGCATCCTTTGGAACTTTCTGCCATAGCACTAGAAGGGATTAGACAGGGCACTTGGTTGTTTGCATTTGAGCAAGAATAAACATAATCTTCCAAAATCAGGGAGGCTGGAAGAGAAATCAATGAGAGGATTGGAAGTCGAGAAACCTCTTTAAGAATGTGGAGCACATGCAGGGTCGGAGAGGACCCAGCAGGGGGCCATCTGCTGATGTCCAGGGGGGTGGGATCCCCAGGAAGAGAAGGGAAGGCACTGACACCCCACCCCCAAGCTGATCCAACTAATATTGCTTATCTGGGGGTGGGGGCTCATGCAGCTCATGGGCTCATGTAGCCCATGAAGCTACATCCCTCTCGTACAAGCTGCTAAAAAGACTGAAAATCGTAATTTCAGCAAATATCTGCACCCCCATGTTCACTGCAGCATTATTCACAATGGACAAGATTTGGAAGCAACCTAATTGTTTGCAGACAGATGAATGAATGGATAAAGGTGTGGGGGATGTAGATATGCACAACGGAATATTATTCAGCCACAAGAAAGGAGGAAATTGCCACTTGCCACAACAGGAATAAAAACAGAGGACATTTTGTAAGTGAAATCAGCCAGAGAAAGTCGAACATTGTACGATGTCACTTATATGTGGAATCTAAAAAAAAAAAAAAAAAAAGGAGTCGAACTTGTGAACACAGAGTGGGATGCTGATTACCAGACCCTCTGCCAAATCAGGAAATTTGTGATAAAGGTTTTTTTTTTTTTTTAAGTTTATTTATTTATTTTGAGAGGGAGAAAACAGGGGAGGAGCAGAGAGAGAAAGGGAAACAGGGAATCCCAAGCAGGCTCCACGCTGTCAGTGCATAGCCTGACACGGGGCTCAAACTCACAAACCATGAGATCATGATTTGAGCCCAAGTCAGATGTTTAACCGACTGAGCCACCCAGGTGTCCCTGTGATAAAGATATTTTAGGTTCACGGTGTGCTAGGGTCAGATGAACCCAGGACTCATGAAGTAAGCAATCTAATAGGAGATTCTTCTCCCATAAATTGGGACCCCAAACAGCTACTTCCTCAGGGTAGACAGAAATTACTATTCCTCATTACAACCCCTGTCACACCCAGGAGTGCAAGAGAAATCACCGCCTGAGGCTGTGCAGAGGGGGGACAATTACATCTCAGAACACAAGACGACAAGGTGCTCTTCTGCGGGTTTACATTCTAGAGCCCTCCTGAACAAAGCCTAGAATCCTATGTGATTTGCCCTGGCCCTCCTGTCCCCCAGGTGCCAGGCAGACACACACGAAAACCCTCTCTGAAAACTACATTCTCGTTCCTGGCCCCTGTTTGGGGGCCACAAAGAAATGTCAAAGAAAACACGCAACCTAGCCATGGAATAAGCATAAAGAAAGGAGACTCCACAGGCGAAGCCTCATGATTTAACAGAGAAAGTTAAGGAAACAACAAGACATTTGATCTATCAGAGGGAAACTATGAAATAGCTGTGTTCTATAGGCTTCATGGACTTTACAAAAGGTTTGAAAATATATGGACAAGGAAAGTATGAAGAATTAAGAAGCAGATTTGAAAAACCTGGGAACTGGGATGAGCTAGAAGAAGAAAAGAGATGTGACCTCATAACAAAGCACCGAAAACTGGGTGGCGAAACCGACCAAAGTTTATTGTCTCACAGTTCTGGAGACCAGATGTCTGAAACCAAGGTGCTGGCGGGGCTGTGCTCTTGCTGACGGCTCTGGGACAGGATTCTTCTGGTTTCTTCTGCTTTCCGTTGTTAGATGGCGATCCTTGTCACTCCTTGGCTTCTAGATGTGTGACTCCAGTAAGAAGGCTGTCCTCCTTTCGTGTTGTCGTTCCTCTCTGTATGTCGGGTGCGTCCAAATGTTCCCCTTTCTGTAAGGACACCGGTCATGCTGGATTAGGGCTCATTTTAACCTATAACTTAGGGCTCTCATTTTAACTTTCTCATCTCTGTAAAGACCCTATTTCCAAATAAGGTCGCATTCTGACATTCTGGGGGTTATAACTTTACCACATCTTTTGGAGAGGACATAACTCATAACACCAAGTCTCTGCTTTTTTTTTTTATCTTTAACAGTAGTTTTAAAATAAAAACCCTATGTATTTTTAAATTACATTTTAAATTATTTTAGCTATTATTGGAAGGTCAATCATTTTTTTACGAAAATTTTTTAACGTTTATTCAATTTTGAGAAAGAGAGACAGAGCATGAGTGGGGGAGGGGCAGAGAGAGAGGGAGACCCTGAATCCGAAGAAGGCTCCAGGCTCCGAGCTGTCAGCACAGAGCCCGACGTGGGGCTCCAACTCATGAACCGTGAGATCATAAGTCAGCCGCTTAACCCACTAAGCCACCCGGGCGCCCCCTGCTTTTGTCTTTTAAAAGTTTATTTATTTTGAGAGAAAAAGAGAAAGCATGAGCAGTGGAGGGGCAGAGAGAGAGGGAGAGAGAGAGAATCTTAAGCAGGCTCTGTGTTGTCAGTGCAGAGACTGACGTGGGGCTCAATCCCATGAACCATGTGATCATGACCTGAGCCGAAATCAAGAGTTGAACACTTAACTGACTGAGCCACCCAGGCACCCCATTTTTAAGTGAATCAGAAGCCAAAAGTTTTGAAATATTCTTTTATCCTGGTAAAATGAAACCCAAAAGTTACAAAAGCAAAATTATGGTCCAAGTTATCCAATATCATAGCAGAGGAGAACTTGGCAGGGAGGAGCTATATCCGGCAGTATAAGAAACAATTCATCTTAACAATGGATGATTACATTGACAAAAATAAAAGATTATTTTAACAAGGCCCTGGGTTTTATATGCATGCATGAAATAATGCTGTTCAACAATAAACAGGAATTAAAACAAAACAGATTTTAAAAAAAGAGAGTTCATGCACTGGAGAGTGGATCTGAATAAATTATCCAGAATACAGAACAGATGGACAAAGAGATAGAAAATATAAAGGAGAGGTTAGGCCAAAACACTCACCTAAAACCTAAAATCGAAGGCTGAGGAAATTCCGTGATCTTAAATAAAAAAGTGAGGGAGGTAGGAGACATGGGAGAAGGAGAGAGAACACCAAAAACATATCAAACCAGAATTCTGGAAGAGGTTAAAAAAATGGGTCACTGGAAATATTTGAAGAGATAAAAAACTAAGAATTTTCCAGGTCTCTGAAAAAAAATAAACCCACAGTTTCTGGAAACCAGTGAATTCTTAAACACATTTTATATGCTGTCAAGTTGAATATTTCTCCTTCACCAAAAATGAATGGTTTATTTTATTCTACTTCCATTTTCTAAGCTGAAATGGCATTTCTTGGTTTTATCTAAGACTGTAAATGTTATCATTTTGACAACAACACAAATGAATTTTTAAAAGATTATTAATCTTTAGCATTCAATTTTTCCATCGTATTAGACAATTTTATTTCCTTTAAAAAATTTTTTAATGTTTATTTTTGAGAGAGAGACAGAGTGTGAGCGGGGGGAAGGGAAGAGAGAGGAAGACAGAGAATCCGAAGCAGGTTCCAGGCTCTGAGCTGTCCGCACAAAGCCCAACGTGGAGCTCGAACTCACAAACCGTGAGATCATGACCTGAGCCGAAGTCGGACTCTCAACTGACTAAGCCACCCGGGAGCCCCTAGATAGCTTTGATTTTTATATGATTTCAGGTAATGGCTGGCCTGCTACTGGTATGCACGTTCATATGTGCATTTTCTACTATTTTAATATATACTTACATAATATGCCTCATTTCTCAGTGGCTCAGACTTCAGATAATATTTTCGGGAACTGCACATAGGAGCTCAGGGTAATGAGCTAAATATCTGTGAGGGGTATGGATGTCCTGGCCCAAACGTTTGTACTGGTTTAGCGTTTGGAGACACCACGGCGTTATTTTTCTGGTTTGTTAAATAACTTGAAGAAGCACACTGTCACTTTATTTGCACTATTTTATAAATAACTTTAAGTTTTCTTTTTAAAACCATGAATGCCAGTAAAGTAGTCACCTGATTACGACCAGGTGCACCTCTTCACATTATGTAACCTTCAACCTTGGCAACCCTTCCTCTTACAGAATCAGATACTCTTCTGTTCATCCACAGACCCTTTTTTCTCTCTTTGATTACATCTTTTCCTTCAGTTGTTCCATTCTTCCTTATGTATTACAAGGGATATGTCATTTATTCAGTATTTTATACCCTATCCTAGCCCACTTACCTCTCTCCTCTCTGTGATTGGTTCACAGATGTGTTAAGCCACTAATTCAATTTCTGTTATATAAAACCTGTTTTTTAAAACATCGTGTCTGTCTTCTTTTTCAAAAAACCTTTGCTAACATTTTCCACTCCAACTATTTTCAATTTTGCTTTTACTGTCTCTAGAGTGACCTGTACTTTTATCCTAGATAATTTTTTTTTTTTTTTTTTTTTTTTTACTGAGAACACGAAGACACTCTACTATAATTCTGGTTTCGCAAAAAAATCTGTTTCAGCAATGTGTATTTTTCCTGTGTTCTTGGCATATGCTTTCATCTCCTTTTGTGGCAATAATTTTCTGTATATCCCAACTGAATTTGTCTCTGCTAACAATGCAAAAAGAAATCTATTTTGACAGTTGACTCTCCTGCCCTGCTCCCTAGAGCGTCCTTCCGGGCAACAGTAGCAATAGAGAGACAGGCCGAGCCCAGAGTGCGTTTGTGCTCATCTCTCTGTGAAGCAAGACGAACGACCAGCCTGAGCAGTGCCCAAGGTGGTCTCAAGAAATCTTCAAGTTCAGTATATTCCTGTTTACCTGCCCTGCCGACCACTTCCCCATTACTTCAGGGATTTTCCTTGGTATGAATTTCCCCAAATTGGACCTTAATTCCTTCCTCTTGTGGTTGCAGAAACATAAAAACTGCATAATGCATTCCTTTTTATGATCACTGTATCATTCTTTTATCTAGAAGTGTCTTGCTGGGGCACCTGGGTGGCTCAGTCAGTTGAGTGTCCAACTCTTGGTTTTGGCTCAGGTCATGATCTCACAGTTTGTGAGTTTGAGTCCCGTGTCAGGCTCTGCAGAGCCTACTTGGGATTCTCTCTCTCTCTCTCTCTCTCTCTCTTTGCCTCTCCCTGCTAACTCTCCCTTATCTCTCTCTCAAAAAATAAATAAACATTAAAAATAGATAAATGAATGAAAGTATCTTGCTGAATGAGCCTTGTTATACACTTAATTTAAAAAAATTTTTTTCTTTAACGTTTATTTATTATTGAGAGACAGAGAGACACAGAGCATGAGCAGGGGAGGGGCTGAGAGAGAGGGAGACACAGAATCTGAAGCACGCTCCAGCACAGAGCCTGACGCGGGGCTTGAACTCATGACCTGAGCCGAAGTAGGACGCTTAACCGACTGAGTCACCCAGGTGCCCCATGAAAACATCAAAATGAATACAGGAGGGAATCACAATCCGTGAAGTGCTGAAATCTGCATTTATGTCCTGGGAAGGAGCAAACCAGAAGTCTGGGGAGAGGAGCAGAGAGAGAGGGAAAGAGAATCCCAATCCGGCTCTGTGCTGCCAGTGCAGAGCCTGATGCAGGGCTCAATCTCATGAAACTGAATAATCGGGACCTGAGCCGAAACCAAGAGTCAGACACTTAACCGACTGAGCCACCCAGGCGCCCCCTGAATTTCTTTCCATCCATCTTTCTTTTGAAGTTGTGACATCATCTTTGCATTCTAAAATATTGAATGGCATGCAAACAATGTTAGTTAACAGCCATATATGTTGGTTGTATCATAGCAGCTGCCATCTAAATCATTGCTCCCCTATTTACATACAAATGGCTGGTTTTGCAAATACAAGTGTGTTGGTAGAAAGCAAAACACGTGTATCCATACACACATAGTGAAAGACTTGGGCTTGCTTATGTCATTTCCTTGAGAGCCAACAAGAGGGCAGGTGGCCTGAACATACTCCCGATGGCCTACAGCACAGGGAATAAGTGTCAGACTGTCTTCCAATCTGCTGTGTGATTCTATTTTCTTATCTCAAACCAGACTGTTCTTACATGTGTTTGCTTCCTAGCGCTGTGCAGACACACAAACACAAAAATATAAAGGCAATGAGGTAAAACATGATGGTGAGTATAATGTATTTTTAGGTATCTGTGTATGGAGTTCTGTGAGTATTTATAACCAGGTTAATCTAGACCCTTATAATAAACTTTCTCTTTCAATAAACGTTGACAGTCTTGTCGTATCTCCAATGCACATTTCTGTGCATAAGAAGTATTTGTTTGATGAATGCCGCAAGAAGTAGGCCGAAGATAAACTAAATCACAGAGACCAGCTCATCTGACACAGTATTATGTTTTTGTTTTTTTCCCCCCAGGAAAACTTTACAAAAATAGTTAAGTCTTGGGACAGCTGGGTGGCTAGTCGGTTGAGCATCTGACTTGGGCTCAGGTGATGATCTCCTGATTCACGGCTTTGAGCCCCACATCGGGCTCTGTGCTGACAGCTCAGAGCCTGGAGCCTGCTTCGGATTCTGTGTCTCCCTCTCTTTCTGCCCCTCCGCCTCTCACGTTCTGTTTCTCTCTCTCTCAAAAATAAATAAACGTTAAAAAAGTACTAAGTCTTTTTGCAAGATGTTTTTCAGTTGAAACCAAAGATTGCAAGGCTTTACATTTGCACCCAATTTTAGAGCATGTCAGGTCAAGCTGATTTGCTTTCACATGAGACTCGAGAAACTTGTGCTGGCCTTTCATATCTGTCTCTCTCTCTTTAACACAATTAAAAAGCCTCTTTCTTTCTTCACAGCAATCAGAACATAACATATTACCTGGTGTTCCAAAGGTAGCCCGTGGGGATCCTTAGCATGTCTCTACAAGGCTCTTGGGAATTCTGCACAAATGTTGGAAAAACGCGTGCTGGCAAACTCATTAAAAAGGAGGAAAACAGATGGTTCCTTGGCTTGAATGTATGCAGGCAATTTCACATGTTCAGGACAAGTTCAATTAAATAAACATTTCTGTAGTGTTTTTAACGAACAAAGAACTGTCTGGCCATTTTCTGTTTTAGCAAAAGTAATTGGGTTCATACCACTTCCCACCCCCCTCTTGTCCCATCACCCCTGGTGAGAATATTTGACTTTTTCCATGAGAAGATATCAACCTTGAAATAGGTTTACTCTACTCTGTCATCATGTCTTTTTTTTTTTATGCTTATTTATTCACTTTGACAGAGAGAAGGAGCCTACGCATGTGCGAGTGGGGGAGGGGCAGAGAGAGAGGGAGAGAGAATCCCAAGCGGGCTCCACCCTCAGCGTGAAGCCCAATGCAGGGCTTGACCCTACAACGTGGGGATTATGACCCGAGCCGAAATCAAGAGCTGGGCGCTTAACCCACTGAGCTACCCAGGCGCCCCACGTCATAATGTCTTGAATTTTTGTCTTTGACATGGGGAGGCCATAGAGCATGGTGGTTAAGAGTTTCCACTCTGGGGTCGACAGGGAAAGCTCAGGTCCTAGGACGATTAACCATTTGTGTCTTGGTTTTCTTTATTGTTCAGCATGAGGTACAATGACAGCATTGACTTTGTGAACCTTTTGTGAGAAGATGGTATTTGGTAACCAGCGCCCGGTACTTCAGACACACCCAATCCAACCACCGTGTCTTTATAACGCTTATGTGTTTGGGCCTATAGGCACAGACCAAAGCCAGCCCCCACCCCACACCCCGGGGTGTGTTGCTCTGTAATAATGTGGCTTCGAATAAAGGGAACACGAGGGAACCTCATCTATTTGAGTCGTTCCCTTGAACGGTTCTTCACTCTGAGACCCAGTGTCTTGTCTCTAACGGCAAGCAAAGGTGTCCAACAAAACAGTGGGGTGTTAATAGGTTGAACTTTGCCACTGGGAAGGAGCTGCTTAAGATTACTTATCACACTGGGGCCTGGATACATCTTCTGCCTCATTCCATAGTAATATTATTTGGAGGGAGCAAAATAATAGAGCCAATAACTCATCCATTGTGAATAGAGCGATGTTTCATATAGTTGTGTTTGTCCTATGCTCACACATTATTATCAGTGACAAGTTTGTGAGTGTATATTAGAAAGTACAGATGCAGTGACTGCTGTATCCACAACGATAAGCCACTCTTCCCAATTTTTCATACATCAAAATAACAGAGAATCATCCCCCAAAACTAGATCCTTCTGACCAAGTGACTGAAACCACCCTGTCTATCACAGGCTAATTGGAAGGATAAGTAGGCTGTTCCCTATTATGATCAAAGGGGTAGCTCTTTGTAGTCCTTTCCCTACATCAGGGTTAGAGACAAGGTTTTTTTAGCAGCCCAGTCGAAAGAAAGAAAGAAAGAAAGAAAGAAAGAAAGAAAGAAAGAGAAAGAAAAGAAAAACCAGGTCAAAAGAGACTTTTCTATTATCTGGAGTAATTACAGTGGAAGTTTTATAGTTCATGTTTCCATTTCCTAAAGAATGAGGAGGATTTAGAACAGCCGATAAGTGAAAAGCACATTGATTTTATATAGTACATCAAGGCCATTAAACATGAAGCCCCTTTCCAGGCCTTGATTTCATCTTTGGTACTTACTTTTTTGAAATGGAAACATATAACCATGAATTCTAGCTTCACTATAGCGAAAGAAGAGTTACACTGGAAATTTTCTGCTGAAATGTTTAAGCCCCAAATACCTTTTAACCATTATCGTGCTTACCAGAATTCTAGGTACTGTAGCCAAAAACTCTGATGGGTATGACCCATAGTCCCCTCACACAAGGACCAGAATGATACAAAGAATTTGTGTTGCACAGAAACAAGAAAGGAAAAAGGAGTCTGTCTACGCCTTATGAGGTAGTCCAAAGTT